GTTCATAAATTATATAATATGATACTATGAAATATATTTTTTATCTTAGGAGATACGTGGTATAAATTTGACTTATTGAGAAAATTTATTTTTTAGGAATTTGATATTGATATTTTAAGTATATAGAATTAAGTTGGACTATTTTCTAGATCCATTTTAGTCAGCCTCAATAATTCTTTCGGCCTAATTGATGTAGAGAAGCTTGTATATACTAAGCACACGTAACAAGAACAATACAAATAACTTAATACAAACACTCTTTATATTTTATTTATAGTAATTCATCTAAATTGATTTTCTTTGTCACGAAAGATTGTTTATATAGAAAAAATGTAACTTATTCCCCAAGCTAAGCTTCAAAAGGAAATTCAAAGAAAAATTCTCAAACCGTGACTAGCTAAACCCAACTCAATTATCAATAATATATAACATATCTGTGTGTATGGTGTATATTTAATTTATTTGGCAAGTTGGGTTTGGGCAATTTTTTTGACTAAAATTCACAAAAAGATAACATAAGCTAAAATAGTTAATAACATAAAATGTCATATTAAATTCATAATTATTTTACTTTTTCTCTCAAAAATATAACATTCAACTACAAAAAAAAAAAAAAACTATCTTCCTAAACACACAAATTTTAACTTATTAAAATAGCCAAAAATTAAAATAACCTATTAAAATAACAACTTTTCAAGCACCCACCTTAGGCCAAGTTTGGCAACCCAAAAATAATCTATCTTTTTATCTTTTTTCATCACATCACTTCTCTATTTTTCTGCACATCTTTTCATAAAAAGACGAAAAATACACTTATTTAGATTATCTCAAACAACTCCTTATTAAGTAAAGAAAATGCACTTGTCAGGAATATACCCACCAAGGATTGAATGATAAAGCGTTTATACTAACTACAAAGTTATTTATATTTATTTTGGTAATATATGGGTTTATTAGGAGTTTGGAATTGTAAATCATTTTAGGACTAGGTTTGGAACATAATGTTCTCATTTTTTTTTAGTATATGTTTGGCTCAGTCCAATTGATGCCCACCCAACAACTTGAATGGAGTTAACTAATATATAAAATCTTAGTATGATACATTAAGGTAATGATTGTTTGTGATAATTAGATTAGATGAAATTAGCATTCTTGGGACGATTAGCTGTGTGATTATCAATTTCTTCAAGTTATGTATCTATCTCATGTTTGAATTGGTTTAGAATTATGAGAAGAGAGTACTAAAATTTTATCAATTTTATAATTTAACTATTTATTATGAATCGTTCAATAGTCTCTTATACGGGGATATCATGTATGGATGAATAATTAATCTGATCTGTGTTTAGCAAGTGGGTTTGCAGGCTTTTTTGGCTATTTTAGCCACAAAAAACAAAATAGGCTATTTTAGCCATAACAAACAAAACATCACATCCAACCCATAATCATTACATTCTTCTCTCGTAAAAAAACTCAAAAAAGCCAAAAAGTCCTTCACAAACCAAGCTTTTAAGCCCAGGCTAAAATAGTCAAAAAAACCAAAAAGCCAACTCACTTCCCAAACGGAGCCTGAATCTTAATTTTCTTAACCAAACATCAAATTATGTGTCTGGTTGGATTATTAATCCATTATTAAAGTCATATCCATCCAACTAAACAAGTCCTAAGTGAATTAGTATTACTAGCAACTTAGGTTTAAGTATTTGAGTCATTTTGATCGGCTCACTCCATTTAAGTTGTTGCCCAATAGGTTACATGGGTGAGGACACTCAAGTTATATTTGTTTTTGGTGAAAAGTTTAGATTGGGTGAAATTGACATTCTTACCCACAGGGTCGGCCCTGAGTGGAGGCCACTAAGGCCGTCGCCTCGGGTTCCTAATTTTGAATAAAATTTAGAGTCTCTAATTAAAAGAATGTATTTTGTTGTGTTATTTTATAATTATTTTAATATTAGTTTAATTTATTTATTTTCATGTTGTTGTATGGTATTATTTTGATTCATGTCCGATTGATATTTAATATGAAAATTTTTACTTTTAGTTAAAAATAACTTAGCAAGTGTATGAAGACACTAAAATTTTTTCCATAAGTTGAATATTATAAAATTTATTTCTACTAAATGAAATTATTCATAGAATGTTTGATTTTAATTCAATTGCATTTTTCTAATTAAAAAAATTGTACCTTATTACTATATATTTTTTATTAGATTGATTATAAAATAGGTAACAAAAAAATACATATCTTAAATGAAAAAAAGATATTAGCCTTAATTATTATTTTACATACTTTTTTATTCAGTTAAATGGAATTAAATAAAAGATTAAAAAAATGTTATAGCATCTTTTAGTGGACATTAAAATATATAATTAATAAGTCATATTATTGAATTGTGTCATACTTAGATTCATGTTAAAAAATACTCAACCCTAACTTACTAATTTTATATATTGCTTGAGTTGTGTCGAAAATTTTCATCCTTACCCCTAATTAATTTTAGTTCTTATAGCATTGGTAAGCTAAAAAATAAATATTCTATTCAACTAATTGAAATTCAACTATTATATATATATATATATATATTTGTTATCTAAATTTTGTTAAATTGTAATGCAATAGAAATAAATTTTCATCCTTTTTGCTTTATCCAAATAATTTTTTTTAAGGTAATAATACATGACGGGCCCAATTTAAAAAATTCACCTTAGACCTCTAATAACTCAAGGCCGACCCTGCTTACCCACTTGTTTTGCATAATGATGTACACATTTTACTACGAAATAAAAAGAAATTCGTTGTAAACCTTTTACTATCATTTACAAATATGTCACTACATTCTTATAGTAAATTTTATATACATATTATAGTGATTTTTATTTTTCATGTGGTGAAATGGATTTGGAAATACTCTCTTGTTTAAACAGAATTTCTTAATCCTCCTTTTCTCTCTC